ATTCCTGCCCAAGGGACACAAGCTGAATCTTAACAATTATGAGACATCAGATGAATTTAAGATTTGGGACCACCTACAAAATAACTAGCTATTCTAGCAACTTATCTATAAATCCGAAATAATGCCAAAAGTAAAAAAGAGAAAAAAATTAGTGAAAATAAAATGTAAACTCATTTATTTTTATTTCTGTCAAAAGACCTGGACATGTTACTTGACCTGTTTGGAAATCATTGACTTGGAAATGATTGACCTGTGATTCACTGACCTTGAGAAAAATCATAAAAATGGAACTGTTTTTGTCAGGGTTGTAGATCACTCCCAAGTCTTTGTGCCAGCCCGGGGGACCCATGCCCTGTCAGCGCCCCAGTCTCTCCCATACTTGCCCTTCTCTCGTTGAACTTCCATCCACCACTGGCTCGCGAACATCAAGCGCTCAGGCATGCCCCGTCTACCTGCCCATGGCTTTGCGTGTGCTTGTGTTGAGCTCTCTCTGTGGGTATTAGAGGAGGGTCTTTGAGAATACACAACATCACTGGGTCAGTCTAGTAGTTGTAGACATTTTCCTAAAACCCTGCTTTTTCCTTATCGCCTCATCTTCCAGTGATGAAATAAAATATATTTAGACTTGAGTATTACCTTCTCTTCTTTTGATTAGGAGAGTGTCGTCTTTACACCTGAATGTTGGCTCTCAACACCCCATTCTCACCTTTCCCTTCCTCAGCTTCATCATTGGGAGAGTTTCTTTTTTCTGAAGGGTTCTAGGACTTTTGCAAGGTGGAAATACTGGAGTAGAGGGGTTGGCAGGTGGTGTGGTGGTTAGGTGACTGGACTCCTACATGGTTGACCACGGTGCGAATCCTGGACCTGGTGGCTTGCTTTCTCACTTTCCCTCTCTCTCTCTCTCTCTCTCTCTCTCTCAGGTCAACCTCAAAAAAACAAAAAAAACCAAAAAAAAAAAAACCCAAAAACAAACAAACAAACAAAAAACAAACCAAAAATCGAAAAACAAAAACACCCCATAAAATAAAATAATGACAATGAATAAAATAAAATAAAATAATTCTTTTTTTAAAATAAAAGAAATATTGGAGTAGAGAGGTTGGAGTGGGAGAGTAATAACGTAGCCAGAAAACTGAAGTTGGTTTTTCTAATAAAGTTCAGTGAGAAAACGAAGCGAGAGGGGTGCAGTTAGGCGCACAGCTCCTATGAGCTTCTGGTGTGATCTATTTGGAGGACGGAGGACAGCAAGGACGTCAATATTGCTGGGAGTTATGAATTGGAGAGAGGAAAGTAAAAGACTGGGACTATGATTGTTTGTTTTTGTTTCTGACTGGACTGCATTTTTTAACCATTGTAACTCCACATAAACCCTGGACACACGGATCTGGGGTTTATGATGGTTATATTTTCCGTAATCTTTGAGTAGCTCTCTATTACCTATAATTTTCATTTTTTTTTAGAGAGATTTTCGTTATAGGGCACATGGGCTCACCAGAGAGACAGAGAGACAAAAACACAGAAAGTGAGAAGTCACCCCCAGGGGGTGGCCATGCTGCAATCCCTTCTCCTCCATTCTCCTCTCAGGGTCTTGGGCACACATGCACATGCACCCAGCATGAGTTTTAAGCCTCCGGGTTGGGGACTTGAATGGCGGTCGGCTACGTGGGAGTCCAGCGATGTAACCGTTATGCCATCTGCTGGTCCTGTTAACTTAAGAACTCTTTAATCTTGTCGTCTGGGCCCCCTACTCCAGCCCTGGCCTGGCTTTTTGCAACATGATACCCTTGTAGGAGCCCTCCTCTCTAACTAAGGCGGTCACTTGGTCACTCGGCCGCTCGCTGTCCCCTGACTATGCCTGTGCCTTGGCTTGATTTGCCTGCATTTGGTTGGAGTCCGGCTTATGGGTATGTCTTCCTCTTGAAAACTCCCTTCTTTGGAAACCCTCATTCCTTCGAATCCCTGTAGAACCTCCAGCCCGTGGTTCTCATTCTACCTTCTGCGCTTGTGAAGGACCTTCTCCTGTGGGTGACTGGCCCTGCCCTGGCTTAAGAAGCTCCCTGAGGGCAGAAGCTCCTCTCCCACAGGATTGAGCTCAGTGGTGGTCCAGGGTCTCGGCCACTGCCCCACTTAACTGAGAGGCCTCACACCCGGACTGTGGCAGCCAGAGGCTCTGAGAGTTCTGGTTTGCCCTGTTCAGAAACTGGACGCTATCTACACGTCGGCCCCTTCCCTACCAGGGGCCTGTCATGGTGTGGTGGTTATGTGAGCTGGGTCCCACACGGCTGACTTTTGGTTCGGTTGGAGTCTGTGTTGCCTGCCCAAAATCCGAAAAGAGAGAGACATGAAAGGGAAGAGATCGTGGCGTGACTCTCTCCCTAGGGACTGATTTCTTGCTTTCCCTCTCTCTGTCTCTGTCAGAGAAGCACATACACCTTCCTACAAATGTTTAAAAAGCGTATTCTAGCATATTTAAAAGCAGATTCCACTCCCCTCCCCCAGGGTTACACCATTGGCCAGGACTTTGCCCCCCTCTCCCTCCTTTTTTTTCCAGATTCTGTTGTCACCAGTTTCTCCACATAGATTAGATACACTGACCCTGGGCAGTGGGCCCTTGAATAAATGATCTGTATAGTAAGACAAGGTCAGGACCAGCAGTTGGTGCAATGGCTATATCGCTGGACTCCTATGTAGTCAACCAGTGTTTGAGTCCCGGACCCGGTGGTTTAAACTCACGCCAGGCACGTGTGTGTGCGTGCCCAAGATCCTGAGAGGAAAATGGAGGAGAAGGGATTGCAGTGTGTCCATCCCCCCGGGGGGTGATTTCTAGCTTTCTGTATGTCTGTCTCTGTCTCTCTGGTGAGTGCATGTGCTCTATAGCAAAAATCTCTCTGAAAAAA